AATGAGTGAGTGAGTGAGTGAGTGAGTGTAAGTGTGAACCACCAGGTGGTATTCGTGTAGTTAGTTGACGGGGTGTATCAGGGAGATAAGATGTTTTCTAATGGTAGTTTTGAAGGTGATGAATGTGTCTGCAGTTCTAAAGTTCTCAGGTAGGGTATTCCAGATTTTAGGGCCTTTGACATACATTGAATTTTTGTAAAGGTTTAGTCGGACACGGGGAATGTCGTAGAGATGTTTGTGTCTGGTGTTATGCCTGTGGGTTCTGTCACAACTATCAAGAAAGCGTTTTAGGTCAAGGTTGATATTAGAGTTTAAGGCCCTGTAGATGTAGATTGCACAGTAGTAAGTGTGGATGTACTGAACTGGGAGTAAGTGTAGGTCTATGAAGAGTGGGGGGGGGTGTGTTGCCAGGGATGGGATTTAGTGATTATTCTTACTGCAGTTTTTTGTTGGGTTATTATTGGCTTTAGGTGTGTTGCTGCAGTTGATCCCCAAGCACAAATAGCATAGGTGAGGTATGGATAAACGAGTGAGTGGTATAGTGTGAGAGGGGCATTTTGCGGCACGTAGTATCGTATCTTGGAGAGGATCCCAACCGTTTTGGATACTTTTTTGGTTATATGCTGGATATGGGTGCTGAAATTCGGGTTGTTGTCAAGGTATAAGCCTAGGAATTTGCCCCCATTATTTCTGGTAATTAGAGTGTTGTCAATCTTAATGTTAATTTGTGCATCTCCTGCTCTGCTACCAAACATAATATAGTAGGTTTTGTCAGTGTTAAGCGTAAGTTTATTGGCTGTCATCCAAGTCGATATTTTAATCAGCTCCTCATTCACAATGGTGTTGAGGGTGGCAAGATTAGGGTGAGAGATGACATAAGTCATGTCGTCAGCAAAGAGAATGGGTTTTAGGTGTTGGGATACGTTTGGAAGGTCATTGATGTATATGAGGAAGAGCAGGGGACCAAGGACACTTCCCTGCGGAACTCCAGTATCAAGTGGCTGTGTTGCTGATGCTGTGTCTTTAATGGTGACATACTGATACCTATTAGTAATGTAAGATTTGAAATAAGCAAGCGCATGGCCTCTTATACCGTAATGATCAAGTTTGTGGAGTAGGATGTCGTGGTCTATTTATTTTATTTATTATTTATTTATTTATTTAGAAATTTAGCATACATACAGAGGTACAAAAAAATACAGGTAAGAGCAGCATGCCAAAGCCACTTATATGCATAGCATTACGGGCTGGCTTACAATTAACTTAAGATTAACTAAGCAATGATGAAATCAGTGATAAGACATTATTGTAAACAGATAACTATAAAATACAAATGAGTATTACAAAGACAGGTCATATGGTTGCATGCATTGCTGTACATTCAGTAGAATGGAGTATTCTGTTAGGTAGTGTATTTAAAAAAAATAACAGTTAGGTTTAACATTTGTGTGATATAATTGTGAGTAACATTTAGGATATACAATTTATATGGTTCAGTTATTCAGTATTTATTTGGTTTTGAGTGAATAAGTGAACTTTGAGAAGAGACTTGAATTTATAAACAGGTAGTGTTTCTTTTATATTTACAGGTAATGAATTCCAGATTTTAGGGCATTTTATGTGCATTGAGTTTTTGCATAGCGTGAGATGGACACGAGGAACATCAAAGAGTGATCTGTGCCTTGTATTATGGTCATGTGTTCTGTTGAGGTTGGCAAGGAGATGTTTGAGGGGAGGGTTAATATCAGAGTTAAGTGTTCTATGTATGTAATAAGTGCAATAATAAGTATGGATGTTTTGTATGGTGAGTAGGTTGAGTGTTTTGAATATTGGTAGAGTGTGCTGCCTGTATTGAGAATTGTTATCATTCTAACTACAGCCTTTTGTTGGGTAATTAGTGGATAATATTTAGTGAAGGGATTCAGGGAAACCGGTTATTTTCATATAGCCGGACTTGAGTCCTGGAAATGGGAAGTACAATGCCTGCACTCTAAAGGAGGGTTTTGGCATATTAGCAGTTTGGAGGGATATGTTGTGTATCTTTACACATACAGTGGTCCCTCGATTATCGACGGTAATCCGTTCCTGGAAGCCGGTCGATTATCGAAATGGTCGATTTACGAATCAATTTTCCCCATAAGAAATAATGTAAATTCAATTAATCCGTTCCTGACACCCAGAAGTATTAAAACAAAAAAATTTTTTACATGAAATATTCATGTAGTACATAAACAATACAATGGGAAATGATGAATGAAACATTAACAGCATAACACTTACCTTTATTGGAGATTCTTCTTAGTGTATGGGAGACTGGAGGAGGAGGAGAGAGTGGATTGTTTATAGTTTGGAAGGGGAATCCCCTTCCAGCAACACCTCAGGTACCATTTGCTTTTCTGGGGTTGCTTCTTTTCTCTGTTTCTTAATGCCACTAGGACCAGCTTGAGAGTCACTGGAGTCCTGTCTCGCAAAATAACATCTGCAAGAGCTCTGTTTCTGGCGTCTCTTTAAAACTTCCCTAAAATGGGGCCAAGACTCTGTCACTGTACAAGTTGCCGATATGGCTTGCAACATTCCTTCTCTGGGTGATGTTTCTCCAATAAATCTTTCCATCTTAACCCCACATAGTAAAAATCTCCTTAATTTCTGAAGAAGGCACCTTCTTCCATCTCTCTTCCTCCTCTCTGCAGCAGATTCTGAGCTGCGATCTGTTGCCCTTCCTGCTGAGCTCTTGCAGCTCCTCAGTGGTTAGCTCTTCGTTGTGGGTCCTCCACCAACTCTTCCACATCCTCCAAACTCACATCCAACCCATGGAACTCCCCAGTGCCACAATAGTTCAAAAACTGACATAGGCTCATCAGGGTCAGCCCCAAACCCTTCCAAATCCCTCTTGTCGACACAATCTGGCCACAATTTTCTCCAAGCAGAGTTCAAAGTCCTGGTAGACACTCCCTCCCAAGCCTTCCCTATAAGGCTTACGCAATGGAAAATACTGAAATGTTCTTTCCAAAAATCTCGTAGGGTCAAGTGAGTGTCTGAGGTCACATTGAAGCACCTTTCAAACATTGCTTTGGTGTACAGTTTTTTAAAGTTTGCAATGCCCTGCTGGTCCATGGGTTGGAGGAGAGGAGTGGTATTCGGGGTCAAGAACTTTACTGAGATGAACCCAAACTCCTTCAGAATTAGGTCATCCAGTTTGGTGGATGAGCAGGTGCATTGTCCATTACTAGCAGGCACTTGAGATCCAATTTCTTCTCCAGGAGGTAATTCTTCACACTAGGGCCAAACACTTCGTTGAACCACTCGACAAAAATTTCCCTCGTGACCATGCCTTATTATTAGATTTCCAAAAACACACACAATTTACTCTTCATAACATTATTTTTCTTAAATGCTCTGGGATTTTCAGAAGGGTTTACACTAGTAACGGCTTCACTTTGAAATCCCCACTAGCATTAGCACAGAACATTAGCGTCAGCCTGTCTTTCATAGCTTGTGTCCTGGCATTGACTTTTCCTCTTGTGTAATGAAGGTCCTCTTTGGCATTTTCTTCCAGAAGAGGCCTGTTTTGTCACAATTGAACACTTGTTCAGGTTTCAGTCCTTCAGCCTCTATGTACTCCTGGAATTCATGCACATATTTTTCAGCTGCCTTGTGGTCCGAACTGGCAGCCTCACCATGCCTTACCACACTGTGTATGCCAGTACGCTTCTTAAATCTCTCAAACCAGCCTTTGCTGGCCTTAAAATCACTCACTTCACCACTATTTGCAGGCAATTTATTTACCAAATCTTCATGCAACTGCCTAGCCTTTTCACAAATAATCGAGGTCATAAGACTGTCTCCTGCTAATTGTTTCTCATTTATCCACACCAATAATAACTTCTCAACCTCTTCCAGTACTGGTGATCTCATTTTTGTCAGCATATTTACCCCTTTGCAACAACAGCGTCCTTGATTTCCTTTCTCATGGCTATGATGGAAGATATGGTTGAATGAATTTTGTTATACATCCTCGCCAGTTCGCCACACGTACGCCACTATCATATTGTTCAAAGATGTTTTTCTTAAATTCAATGGTATTTTTTCACCTTCTTTACCAAAGGTTTGGCACTAGGAGCTTTCTTTGGAGCCATGGTAGCTTATTTAGCACTTAAATAACTTGCAAGCACTAAAATAAATGAAAATAAATTTCACTGGAGCACGTGAAAGGACCGCCGCTAACTGGTAAACAATGGCACACTGGCTGGGAAGGAAGGCTGAGGCGGGTCGAGGCCCGCTTACCTCGTGCATACGCATCTGGGACGACGGGTCGAGACGGGTCGATAAACGAAATTTCGTCAATTTCTGAGTCGATTTTTGTCGAAAAAAACCGGTTGATTTCCGAAATGGTCGACTTTCAGGCCGGTCGATTATTGAGGGACCACTGTATATGCTTCTAAGCTGTTGTGTTCTGAGCACCTCTGCAAAAACAGTGATTATGTGCGAGTGAGGTGAAAGTGTTGAATGATGAAAGTATTTTTTGGGGATTTTCTTTCTTTTTGGGTCGCCCTGCCTGGGTTTGGGAGCTTTCCGACTTGTTAAAAAAAAAAAAAAAAAAAAAAAAAAAAGTGTAGTGTGATGTAAGTGTAAGTAGAAGTAGCAAGAAGTACCTGAAATCTCTCATGTTTGAGACAGAAAAAAAAGGACACCAGCAATCCTACCATCATGTAAAGCAATTATAGGCTTTCGTTTTACACTCGCTTGGCAGGACCGTAGTACCTCCCTGGGCAGTTGCTGTCTACCAACCTACTACCTTGGAGCAGTGTACTATAAATGATAATTCTGTGCATTATCACTTGTGTTGGTTACCGACAGTGAGCATATTGTGTGCTACTGTGGTTTGCCTAATACTTTTCATTATGCACCTCGTGTTAATAATGTGAGTAGGCTGAGCTCCATCATTACGTAGTTGAGCAAGTTAGTACTAGCATATTATTTATAATAATGACTAACTTCAGGACTCCCTGGAGGTGTATCATGATGCCCACACCACCCCACAGCGACCTCTCCACAACTTCGTCGATAAGACAGAAAGGAAACGTCATGCCAGTGTGGGTACTGCGACCAGAGAAAATGGACTGGCTGTTGAGATGAATTTGGTAGACTCCACAAAAACAAAAGGTGAGTTGACACTTTCTTATGCACAATTGCAGATTAGTTTCCATAAAGGCATTAAGACTGTGGAAATAGCTTGGACACTTATTTGGGCTGAATGAAGCCACCAGCTTCTGTCTGTTACAGGAGCATTTCAGCTGGAAGGACAAGGTCAGGAGAAATTTTTTATTTTTAAAATGGCCAGAGTGATGGAGAGTAAAGGAGAGGCAGGACAGAGGAAGAGTAGGGATTAACCTGTACCCTCTATTGTAAAGTTCCCATGTATTAGATCCTTGGAAAAAAAATAAATTTTAAGTATAGTATAGTCTAAGTTTTGCCCAAAATGCTTTGCAGTCTTTGGGCCTTCAGATTATTGTACATTTTGTACAGTAACTTTGAAAGAGTACACAGATAACCTGCACGTAGGAGAATGAAACTTATGACAACGTTTTGGTCTGACTTAGATCATTAGCTTGTCACACAGCAGTGTGACTAGTTAATGGTTCTAGTCAGAACAAAACATCACAAGCTTCATTTCCCTTTGTGAGTTATTTGTGTATTCCAGTCATAGTATTGTGCTTTTTTATTCTTTAACTTTGAAATAGATTTATATTGGTAAGGAAGGATTGGGTAATCTCTGATTTCCAGAAAAGTGTTGGTCAGATTTAAATGAATTTAATGTTCTTGTTAATAAAAAATGTACTAAAATTTGTGGTACAGTAAACCCCTCTGTAATGGGGTGGAGGTTACACTCCGGAGAATTGACATCTAACCTAAAATCACTTTACGCAACATGAGGAATGTGGGAAAAATTAAGATTGTTTTATACAACAAAGTTAGCCCCTTTCCCCCACCCCCATGTTATACCAGTATCGCTTTCCTACAATTCTGCTAGTCATTATTTACAACATTTGAGGAGTGGGGAGGGTTACTGAGTCAGTTGGGGTGAGATGAATGTAGTGCTAAATCAATATGGGTCATGTGCAGATTGCTCATTCTTAACAGAAAACATTTTTGAAAGTTTATTACATCTTTTAATGCTTTTTAAACCATCCATCACTAAACTTGCATTGTTATGAATACTCCCCTGCCTTCTCAGTTTTATATGAAGACTGGGCTTTAAGTATTACCAGGAGACCTTTTCTGGGTTTTTTACTAATATACAGTGGAACCTCAAAAATTGAACTGCTCCCAACATGACCAATTATGTAAGTGTATTTTTGTAAGTGCTTTTATAAGTGTATTTTTGAGGGTCTGAAATGGACTAACCTAATTTACATTATTACTCATGGGAATAAATTCATTCAGTAAAGGCACTCAAACAGCCTTCTGGACCAAAGAAAGTTCGATATTTGAGGTTCCACTGTATTAAGTAACTTTTTGGTTTAAATTAACTGTAATGACCTTTTTCATATTCCTTTGAGCAAGTAGCATTCTGTATGACTAAGTGACAATCTGATATTTTTTGTCATTGTTTGTGTCTGAATGATATTCATTCATACAGAATTCTAGCCATTTATATCACAGATGCACCACCTTTTGCTTTTGCCCTGATAACTGGCCTAGTTGGTGCTCGGTTCACTGTGTACTTGGATTCCCAGTGTATTTTGTCAGCCCTAGCCCAGTATGCTTCTGTCCACCCTGTAGTCCACTAGGTCCATAAGTGGTTAGTGTGTTTTCCTGTATGACACAGGGATGCAGAGTTTGCTGCTGCCTGGGTCTTGGTGTTTCAGGAAATGAACTGAGATGCTGAAGCAAAAGCTAATGTAGCAAGCATGCATTGACTTGCTTTAGCAACTTAATGGGTTGTATCCATACATGTGCTTGGGAAGTGGCAGACCCAGTGGGCACTGTAAATTAGGAGCAAGTTATGTATTCAGGTTTTAGCAGGAAATTGGGTGTTTGGCCCTTACCTCCAACATTGAGATAAATATTTGTTGATTGACTCTTCCTCTGTAAGCCATGAGGGTTGTAAGAGGCGACTAAAATGCTGGGAGCATGGGGCTAGTAACCCCTTCTGTGTAAATTATACTAAATTTAAAAATAGAAACTTTAGTTTTTCTTTATGGGCCACCCTGCCTCGGTAGGATACGGCTGGTTTGTTGAAAGAATGAATTTGTTGATTGAGGATTGGGCACAACACAACCATAGCCATATGTTTGCAGGTGCTCATGTCCCCCCTCCATGTAGCTTGTGATGTACTGTTGATTGCGGAATGCTGTTTAACTGTTTGCCCGTGGTATAGGTCTTTCTGCCTTTGTCGTGGCATTGTATAATTACGGAATTTCCTGTAGGGAGTCTTTCAACATTAATAATTTAATAGGGTTTATTAATTGATAAGTTATTTTAACCCTTTGACTGTTTTGGTCGTATATATATGTCTTACAAGGTACCGTGTTTGACGTATATATACTCATAAATTCTAGCGGCTTCAAATCAAGCAGGAGAAAGCTGGTAGGCCCACATGTGAGAGAATGGGTCTGTGTGGTCAGTGTGCACCATATAAAAAAAATACTGGAGCACGCACTGCATAATGAGAAAAAAAAACTCCGACCGTTTTTTTTAATTAAAATGCCGACTTTGTGGTCTATTTTCATATAGTATTTATGGTTGTATTCTTGTTTTCTTGGCATCATTTGATAGAATGGAAAACATGTTATAGAAATAGAGGTGATTTTGATTGGTTTTACTATATAAGGAACCTGGAAATGGAGCTCAAAGTAGGGGAAATGTTTGATTTTTGATATTCAAAAGTAAACAAATGATGTCATTGTCCAATAAATGTCCAACTAGCCATTCTAATATGCAGTTATGAATGTGTTGATGATATTTATAAAATTATTACAGTATTGCAGTAGTCTGCATAACAGTAAATCTATTTTTTGTTTGAATAAAAATTAAAAATAGAAAGCAAGAGTAATATCAGAGGGGCTTGGAGACATGACTGATGAACAAAGAAAATGTTATTTTAGAGCCAGGAATGTCTGCATTGTTCATTCTGGACCTTATTTTGAAACTGTCGTATTTTTTAATTTTCGTGAAATTGGCCAATTGCAAATTTCTGACCACACTGTTGGGTACTTGAAATTGGTAAATGGGCAGTTTCTTGTACTCAATTGATAGAAAAAACAGTTTAAAGAAATAACTATGAGTTTGGTCAACTGGAACAATGGAATTAGCCAAAAATAGGGCTCAAAGTGCACGAAATTGCCGATTTGTAAACATCGCCGAGGTCGCTAACTTCGCGAGAGCGTAATTCCGTCAGTTTTCCATCAAATTTAGTTTTTTTTTTTTTTTTGTCATTACAATCGGGAAAAGATTCTCTATCATTTCATAAGATTTTTTTTAAATTTTGCGACACCAGGAGACATCTCAGGATTGGGGGTTGCGACAGTCAAGGGGTTAAATTGGTGTGATATTTACTTTTGTTATTTACTAATTGTATCCTTGATTATGGGTGTGAGCACTGAGTGACCTATGCAGTAAAAGAGCTCTAAGAGGAACAAATTTTGTGCAATTTAATGCTGTGAGAATCTGTGGTGTGATGTACCAATATTTTGTCCATTAGGTTTTATTTTTATATTGCATAATGACTAGGTTTTTTCCTTGTCATTATGTCAGGCTGTGTATCGTGTTTCCTATTCAGATTGCCCCTTAAGCTGCCTAAATTATATACAGTACTATATGAATTTCATAATGTAATGTGTTGACATTGATTGCTAATGCACACTCAAAGCTTCTACTTGCCTCCTTCAGTAACAGTAATGTTTTCTTGTTCTTCAAGGATGTGTTGCAATCACTGGGAGTAGCTAAGAGTGCCAGCATTAACACTGATGTTCAGTACCTTGCAGGTTTGGAAAAATAAACGCAGTAGCAGTATAATGTGATCCTTTATTGACAACGTTTTGCCCACACAGTAGGCTTTATCAAGTCACAAACAGATCTACCTGGGTAAAAGGTACATGAGTATTTATAGGATGGAGTCAAGTGGAGAATGCTAGGTAGGTTGGATCTGAACCTGCATGTGACAACTTTCCGAGTAGGGTGATAGAGGTTAGGACCTTGGGTAGCTTTAAAAAGAGATTGGATAAATATACGAGTAGACGTTCTGCAGTGTTCCTCCATTCTTGTGCTCTTATGTGGGATAACGAGGAAGAAGTTCAGGGGTTCAGCTATGTTATAGAAGCCGTTATGTTGGTTGAAGTTTTAGGATATACAGATAAGTGATGATTCCAGGATTCTGTGGTAAGTCTTGCATTTCTGTAGTTGATTAAATGGTTGTGTGAATTTTGGTGTTGAACACAGGCATTTCTTAAATTGTCCGATCTGCCTGCTTACTGGTGTTCTGAAATACATGTTTGGAGGTCTCTGGGTGTTTCGCCCACGTATAATTTGCTGCAGTCATTACAAGGGATTATGTGCATCCCTGCAGAGGACTGAAGCTTGTTCTGTCTATTACTGGTAATGTCCTTGGTGGTGGGAGTGGAGGTAGATACCTTGAATGAGGTACTGGAAAAAATGTTGGAAACGTGTTTGGCAGTGGAGTTGGTGGGGAAGGACTATGTATCTCATCTCGGCAGTGGCTTTTCTGGGTGTGTTAAAGATGTTATACTCCTGGCGTCTCAAGTCTCCAATGAAGTGCCGAGGATAGAGAAGTTTAGAAGATACTTGTTCAGTTAGTGAGCACTCTACAAGGAACTCGCTGCTGCAGATTCGGAGTGCACGCAGGAAAAATCCTATGTAATTACACCACGTTTAGTTTTGGTGTCATGGTGAGAGTAAAAGTGGAGAAGATATTGTTGGTAGGTTTTTGATAGACTTTAAAACAGTTTTTGGTCAGCTTTGCAGAGAAGAACATCAAGGAAAGGAAGAGTGTTGTTGACTTCTTCTAGTGTAAACTGGATTGAGGGCTCGACTTGGTTGAGCTTGTGTTGGAGATCTTTAACGTTGAAGCGTCTGGGAGTTGTGATGAGAATGTTGTCATCATAACGGAGCCAGATGACCAAAGAGGGAATAGAGGAAAAATGTTCAGCTTCTGGGTGTTCCATGTATATAATCATGTATGTTTCACACAGGTAGATCTGTTTGACTTGATAAAGCCCATTGTGTGGGCAAAACGTTGTCAATAAAGGATCACAGTATACTGCTTCAGTGTTTATTTTTCCATTGTGTTGGTATTTTATACTATTTATTTCCACCTTGCAGGTTTGTTGCCTGCACAATCTGGTATGGTTGCTAGTGGAAGAGTCCGCCATGCCAGTTGCAACACTGCCTCTCTTGCCAATGCCAGCCTTCATAATGCTCTTGGCAATCCCTACCACATAGGACGCCTTTCTCTCTCTACAAACTCCCTCAAAAAGAAAACTGATCGGGACCAGCCATCAAAGAAAATAGGATCATTGCAGAAAATTGGTGAAAAGGGAAACTATAACTGGGCACCTAACATGGCATATGTGGAAATGAATGTGTGTGAGAGTGGATCAAAGGCAAGAGTGCAGGATGCAGCTTCATCACTCATAGTAAAAGACACACCAGAGAAATTCAGTGACAGGGACAGTGCTGCCTGGAAGAGGAATTACGTGCAGTGTGTTGGGGTTGACCGTCTGCTGGGAAGGATAGACGAGGGTGACGGGTTGCACCTCCAACAAGAGATCCACCTTCACCCAGAACATGTAGAGCAGCCCAAGGACACTGTAGAAAAAATGTACACCTTTGGGCCTGTGAGTATTTTATTTTGTATATTTTGGTATTGGCCTAAAGTAGTGCTACATGGCTGAATGTTTATCTTGTACTCTTTGATCTTAATCAGCATTTTGAACTTTAAAACAGATTTCACACTTTTGTGGACATGGGAAATTATATAAAGGTATCATTTGGGCTTAAACTCAAGGCAAGCAGGTGACATCCCCACACCTGTACGCTTCTATCACTGCACAATCAGCCAGCCTCCTTAAACCTATACTCATACACCAACATGGTCAGCAAGGTAGGAACCTAACACCTGTGTGCCTACACTACAGTCAGATAGGTGGCATTCCCACAGTCGTACCTGTACATCATGGTCAGCCGGCCGACAACCAGGGTTGACAAGGGCGTTTTAACAATCCTGGTAAAACTCTTGGTAAAAATCTGCCTGGCAAAAACCTGGCGACTCTGAAATACTTCTCATTAGCTAAACACCATTATTCAGTTGTGAGTTGGCTCAGCATTTGATATTTGTGAAGAGTATTGTGGCTGCAGCCATCACCACACAGCAGATGCATGGTTAGTACTGCCTACTGAGTCGCACATCCCACCCCATAGATGTGATATGTCTGCTCTTAAACCAGTAGATGGGTAAAATGTCATGCCTTGAGCATTCTTGGGCTGTATGGTACTGTATGAACAATTTAGGTTTAGTACTTGTGAATTTAATAACCCTAGGGGGAGAATGACCTGAAATGCTTGATGTACCTGTTTTAATGGCATGTTTACTCAACCCATAGCATATAATTGGCATAGGATTGACATGTATAAAGCTCTCTATAAAACTCTGTATGCAGAATATTTCAGGCATCCTTAAGATAAACTTAAAACTTCAGAAAAATTTTCATATAATGATAATTATATATTGGGAGCAAGGGGCTAGTAACCTCTTCTGTATATATTACTAAAGCTAAAAGAAGCTGGATGTCCTGGCTTTAAGTGTAACAAAGCTGAAGGGGGTGGGAGAGTTTCAGTGGAGAGGAATAAATGGGATTAGGTCAGGGGTTTCAAATGTTAGAGCTAAAGGAGGAGTAGCAATAATGTTGAAGGATAAGATATGGCAGGAAAAGAGGGACTATAAATGTATTAATTCAAGGATTATGTGGAGTAAAATAAAGGTTGGATGTGAAAAGTGGGTTATAGTAAGTGTATATGCACCTGGAGAGAGAGATAGATATAGATATAGATGGATATAGATAGATGGATATAGATATAGATATATAGATAGATATAGATATATAGATAGATATAGATATATAGATAGATATAGATATATAGATAGATATAGATATATAGATATAGATATATAGATAGATATAGATATATAGATATAGATATATAGATATAGATATATAGATAGATATAGATATATAGACAGATATAGATATTGATTGATTGATTTTGGGAAATGTTGAGTGAATGTGTGGGGAGTTTTGAACCAAGTGTGAGAGTACTTGTGGTTGGGGATTTCAATGCTAAAGTCGGTAAAAATGTTGTGGAGGGAGTAGTAGGTAAATTTGGGGTGCCAGGGGTAAATGTAAATGGGGAGCCTTTAATTGATCTATGTGTAGAAAGAGATTTGGTAATAAGTAATACATCTTTTATGAAAATGAGGGTAAATATACAAGGTATGATGTAGCACGTAATGAAAGTAGTTTGTTAGATTATGTATTGGTGGATAAAAGGTTGATGGGTAGGCTCCAGGATGTACATGTTTATAGAGGGGCAACTGATATATCGGATCATTATTTAGTTGTAGCTACAGTTAGAGTAAGAGGTAGATGGGACAAGAGGAAGGTGGCAACAACAAGTAAGAGGGAAGTGAAAGTGTATAAACTAAGGGAGGAGGAAGTTAGGGTGAGATATAAGCGACTATTGGCAGAAAGGTGGGCTAGTGCAAAGATGAGTAGTGGGGGGGTTGAAGAGGGTTGGACGAGTTTTAAAAACGCAGTATTAGAATGTGGTGCAGAAGTTTGTGGTTATAGGAGGGTGGGGGCAGGAGGAAAGAGGAGTGATTGGTGGAATGATCAAGTATAGGGTGTGATAAGAGAAAAAGTTAGCTTATGAGAGGTTTTTACAAACAGAAGTGTTATAAGAAGAGCAGAGTATATGGAGAGTAAAAGAAAGGTGAAGAGAGTGGTGAGAGAGTGCAAAAGGAGAGCAGATGATAGTGGGAGAGGCACTGTCAAGAAACTTTAATGAAAATAAGAAAAATTTTGGAGAGAGTTAAGTAAGTTAAGAAAGCCTAGGGAACGTATGGATTTGTCAGTTGAAAACAGAGTAGGGAGTTAGTAGATGGAGAGAGGGAGGTATTAAGTAGATGGCGAGAATATTTTGAGGAACTTTTAAATGTTGAGGAAGAAAGGGAGGCAGTAATTTCATGGACTGGCCAGGGAGGTATACCATCTTTTAGGAGTGAAGAAGAACAGAATGTAAGTGGGGGGGGAGGTACGTGAGGCATTACATAGAATGAAAGGGGGTAAAGCAGCTGGAACTGATGGGATCATGACAGAAATGTTAAAAGCAGGGGAGGGGGGTATAGTGTTGGAGTGGTTGGTACTTTTGTTTAATAAATGTATGAAAGAGGGGAAGGTACCTAGGGATTGGCAGAGAGCATGTATAGTCCCTTTATATAAAGGGAAGGGGGACAAAAGAGATTGTAAAAATTATAGAGGAATAAGTTTATTGAGTATACCAGGAAAAGTGTACGGTAGGGTTATTATTGAAAGAATTAGAGGTAAGACAGGATGTAGGATTGCGGATGAGCAAGGAGGTTTCAGAGTGGGTAGGGGATGTGTAGATCAAGTGTTTACATTGAAGCATATATGTAAACAGTATTTAGATAAAGGTAGGGAAGTTTTTATTGCATTTCTGGATTTAGAAAAGGCATATGATAGTGGATAGGGGAGCAATGTGGCAGATGTTGCAAGTATATGGAATAGGTGGTAAGTTACTAAATGCTCTAAAGAGTTTTTATGAGGATAGTGAGGCTCAGGTTAGGGTGTGTAGAAGGGAGGGGGACTACATCCCGGTAAAAGTAGGTCTTAGACAGGGATGTGTAATGTCACCGTGGTTGTTTAATATATTTATAGATGGGGTTGTAAAAGAAGTAAATGCTAGGGTGTTTGGGAGAGGGGTGAGATTAAATTATGGGGAATCAAATACAAAATGGGAACTGACACGGTTACTTTTTGCTGATGATACTGTGCTTATGGGAGATTCTAAAGAAAAATTGCAAAGGTTAGTGGATAAGTTTGGGAGTGTGTGTAAAGGTAGAAAGTTGAAAGTGAACATAGAAAAGAGTAAGGTGATGAGGGTATCAAATGGTTTAGATAAAGAAAAATTAGGTATCAAATTGGAGAGGAGGAGTATGGAAGAAGTGAATGTTTTCAGATATGTACGTACTTGGGAGTTGATGTGTCGGCAGATGGATTTATGGAGGACGAGGTTAATCATAGAATTGATGAAGGAAAAAAGGTGAGTGGTGCGTTGAGGTATATGTGGAGTCAAAAAATGTTATCTATGGAGGCAAAGAAGGGAATGTATGAAAGTATAGTAGTACCAACACTCTTATATGGGTGTGAAGCTTGGGTTGTGAATGCAGCAGCGAGGAGGGGGTTTTGGAGGGCAGTAGAGATGTCCTGTTTTAAGGGCAATGTGTGGTGAAAAATATTATGCAAAAAAAATTCAGAGTGGGAAATTAGGAGAAGGTGTTGGAGTTAGTAAAAGTATTAGTCAAAAGGCTGAAGAGGGGTTGTTGGGTGGTTTGGTCATTTAGAGGGGAATGGATCAAAGTAGAAGGGAAATGGAGAGCATTTAAATCTGTGGGAGAAGGAAGGCGAGGTAGGGGTCGTCCTCAAAAAGGTTTGGGAAAGGGAAAGGGGGAAAGGGAGGTTTTGGGGGCGGGGGGCTGGACTTCCGCAGGCGTGCATGAGCGTGTTCGATAGGAGTGAATGGAGACGGATGGTATTTGGGACTTGACGATCTGTTGGAGTGTGAGCAGGGTAATATTTAGTGAAGGGATTCAGGGAAACCGGTTATTTTTATATAGCCGGACTTGAGTCCTGGAAATGGGAAGTACAATGCCTGCACTCTAAAGGAGGGGTTTTGGGATATTAGCAGTTTGGAGGGATATGTTGTGTATCTTTATACATATAGTCAGTTCCTGATCAGCCGGGCTGTGGCTCGTACGTTGGTTTGCGTGCAGCCAGCAGCAACAGCCTGGTTGATCAGGCGCTGATCCACCAGGAGGCCTGGTCACAGACCGGGCCGCGGGGGCATTGACCCCCGAAACTCTCTCCAGGTAAACTCCAGGTAATATATGCTTCTAAACTGTTGTGTTCTGAGCACCTCTGCAAAAACAGTGATTGTGTGAGTGAGGTGAAAGTGTTGAATGATGATGAAAGTATTTTCTTTTTGGGGATTTTTTTTCTTTTTGGGCCACCCTGCTTTGGTGGGATATGACCGGTTTGTTGAAAGATGTATTATTTATATTATGTATTTTGAGAATTTACATAAATTGGTGTAACATTTGTTGTGGTGAAACTAGGGCCACAGACTGCTTATGCCATATCGAGCCTTACTTCCCGATGTATGAAGAAATACTACCCAAAGCTTGTCAATGAAAGAAAAGGAAACAGGAGTCCCTCTTCAAATAGAAACAAACTAAGTTGCTAAGTGAGCCAGGTGGATCTTCCCTTGCCAAGCCCCTGCAGTGGGATGCCCACATCCTCACCCGAGTTCAGGAACTATATTCCCACCAAAACCATTAAAGAAATATTCATAGTGGAAAAAATGGAGCTAATGAATGGTGCCCTTCCTATACAGTGGACAGCAGGCAGAACAAGGTGAAGAACAGCATCCCAGAGAGAATGGGGGAATATTTGTTGTATCTCAGGAGAAAGCAAGATGACCCCACACCACCACAGAAGTCTCTAAAGCTGGGTAATGAAAAGAAAGGAAAAAGGATTTCTCT